TTACCATTCGTTTATACGCTGCAGTCCGGCAGCTGACATCTTCTTCCAGTATTCGCCATCCGTCTTGCATTTCTCAAAGAAGTCAGCAATCTTGTTGCTGGATTCATCACCATTGTTGGGATCAATATGGAACCCTGAGACGCCATCCACAATGATTTCCACAGGGCCGCCTTGGTTGGTTGCAAATGTAGGCAACCCACAGTTCATGGCCTCAATGACTGTGAGACCGAAAGCTTCGTACAGCGCAGGCTGCACGAAAGCTCCCTTTGTATCTGCAATACACCGATACAGCTCCCCATTTCGGTATCTATCAGTCTGAGCCGCTATCCATCTGAACTGACCGCTAAGTTGATATTCTTGCACGAAGGCATGAAGTTTCTTGATTTCAGCAATTTCTTCCCTGTCTTTGGATTTAGATGGATCGAAGAATCCCCCGACAATTACAAGATTGACAGAATTCCTCAGCCTCTTGTTCTTTCCGAACCACTCAACTAGTCCTGTGAGGTTCTTCACTGTGTCCAGCCTTGCCATTGAGAATATGATAGGTTTCTTCTTGTCTGCCAAAAATCCTCTGTTCCAAGCATGTTTATTGTTCAAGAGTTTTCATTAAGAAATTGCCACAACAAAATGTGCAAGAATTTATAAATGTGTAAGAATTAATTACATGTGCTCATCATTTTCCTCTTTCGTGTAGAGTAGTTCTTCGATGGCAGGTTGAAACTTGGTAAATCGTCTTTGTTTCTCGGAGTAGGGAAAGTAGACGGATTGGTCAGCTCCAGGCGCAGCAATGTTGAACTTTGGATCAAACACATCAATGCCTGACACAACTCGATAGAGTCCTGGCATTGTAAATGCTGTATGGCTTTCGTACTGTCCAGGTCGGTCCTTGCTGCAACATGAAAACAACACATTGATCGAATAAGGAGAAGATCATATCAACCTTGTATGTTAATTTTGGTTTTGGCATGAAAGACTACTAACCCTCCAGCAATTTCTTGAAATGTGCTTGTTATGACAAAATCAGCACAATTCATAGAGATTATGTCAGCTGTGAACTGACAAGAGAAGTGGTATTTAGGATCAAATTCCTTCCATTTGGCATCAGAATCTTCGTACTTGGTCTTTTCTAGCGCATGCGCAATCGTTCCCTGCAGAGAGTTAATTACTTGGAACAGGTTAATTAAGTTGAGATTCAAGTTTTTAACCGACATTTATGTATCGAAGGAGGTGGTTACGTGTCGACTTAGACCTGAGTGATTCCAAGTTTAGAAGCAATCAAAGAGGCCACCAAGTTTCCATCACTGTAGTTCCCAATTATGAGGTCCGGTTTGCATTCCATGTGTTGTAAGATCTTTGAAGTTGCATCCTAATAAACAACGATGAGAACAGAATAAATATGTAAATCATCTATTTTTCTTTCCAATAACTCACATAAACTAGTACCGGAGAAATGAGGTCAGAAGAATAAATTGATCATATATATGATAGCTAGAGTGAGAAGATGAATGCCTGTGCAAATGTCTCGAGATAAGGGTAGATATCGAAACGAGAAACCCATTGGCGGAGAAAGCCTTTGTCTGTCCTGAATGGAACCCTAAGGATGTGGGAGTGCTTAGTGTCGATGATAGCTTCCAACTCCTGGTTGCACTTTGTTCCTCGAGCGTCTGGTATCAGTCGTGTCACCTGTGTACATGACACATACGTACATACATTGTACATACAAAGTACAAATTAGAATTGCAACGTGTACAGCATTATTCAGTATTCTTTTGTTTATGTACACTTAGTCCAGCTCACCACAAGAATCTGAGGCTTCACAGCAAGGCCTTGTTGTTTAATTCTGAGGAGCAACTCTTCCTCCAAAGCTCTCACTTGATCAAGAATATAAACAACCTGTCCACCCGTGTCAGGCAATCCAAGGACATCCGACTGGCCAAAGTAGCCGTGAGGAGAGAAGATAACGATGTTGAACGTGTTGGGAAGTCTGCTAAACAACGATTCCAACTTCACTGAGTCTGGCGCCTGGAATACTTCTGACAGCAGCCTCATTGTCTCTCCAACTCTTTCTGCTGTATCTCCCCATCCTTTCTCAAAACCCAACACTTTTAACCTGCTCAAGATTGAATACAACATTTGTTCGTATATAAACGACCAAGATCTGCAGCATATAACACATACATTCTTTAGTTAAGGTTCATGAGAGATAACCTTTGCTCAAAACTCGGAAATGGTGTGGTTTTTGGAAGTGTGGAGACGAGTACTTCCGCTTGGATCAATGCAGTTTGAAGTTTTGCAACGGTATCTAGACTTTCATTGATCATAAGATTCTGCATATACATATATTGTACTTTAATTAAGAAAAATTAATAGAGAGGCCGCAAAAGATCAAGTAATTAATCAATTAATCTCAAACAAAATTGACATATATGATTTCAACCTCTCCGTGATAATTAAGCGGTAATAAGTAGTCAAGAAGGGGTTTAGCATAATCGGAGCAGCTGGCATGAGTACTGAGCCTTGATGAGATTAACTTTAAGACGAAGTTAAGTCCATGTCCGATTGCAGAAGGAAGCGTCATTCGAGGAGTAGAGAAGTCGATGGCACCAAAATCTAATTCCAAAGCATTTTCATCGTTCGCCCTGTTGCATGCATGCATCACTCAAATTAATTTGAAATTAGTCATGCATATATATACATATACACGTAGCTACATACGTACGCGTATAAAACGTACCAGCTCTCGTCAAAGATCATTTCCTTGAACTTCAAGTATTCGGTAGCAGAAATGCCATCCACTGCTAGATCATCTGCATTCACCTTAACAAATTCTGAGAAACCGGGATTCGGTCTCACTGCAAAAGCAACATAGGGTGGAACAACAGCTGCTTCCTGAGTGCGACTGAGGATGTAACCAAGTAAACCCTCCAAGACCTTGCTTCTTTCATGCCTATCTTCTATCGATTTTTCCAGCTCCTCCATTATATGCTGCGGCTTCATTAGCCTTTTCCCCGTTCCAACAAAACTTTTTGCATGCATGTTTAAATTTGTTAATTAGTTAAACAAGAACATCAACATTCGAATTTCACAAACATATAGTATATAAAAATATTGTATGGAAAAAAAAATTAAAAAAATACCTGGCAAAACATTTCTTCATATGAAAGCGACTCGCTCTGAGTGCTTCTGGCATGGTTTCTGCAATCGTATCAGATTTCTTTAAAGGATTTGAGGTGGAAGCCATTTCAGTCAACTAATTAGAACAATCGATCAACAAGCGATCTTCGAAGTTGGTTTAGTTTTATGAACGTTAGTTTTGTTTATTGGTGAATTTATAGGGAACTTAAAAATGCAGGAAGAGAAGAGTGGTTAGGTTACAGATGGCTGAAATTGCCGTGGGAGGAGAAAGAACATCCTTGATTCTTTTATGCCTTTTGCAGGAAAGGAAAGATGAAAGCAAGAAAGGAATTTTTACACGGGTTGAAGCAAATCTACCAGATTTGGCTTTCATAGTGGTATATATTTGTTTTAAAAGTGGAGGTAAAGAATCTCAAGGAATTCGTACTTGGTCTTTGTAAAAGTGCATTTTTTTATACTTCTTCCAATCTCAAGTTTACGACCTGTTTCATGTCAAATTGTGCACAAGTTTTTCACCACCACAACACTGAAACACTATCACGAACACATCAATTAGTAACACCACCAATACATAGTTATACTATTACAAATTTATTTATTAATATTATACTTAGATATTTGACATATCAACCATGTCATCTGCAAGATGTACTGGACGGACCAAAAACTAATTAGCATTTCAATTTGAAGTAGGAAAAAATGCAGTCTAATAGCATTCTCAATGAGGGGCTCTATATGGGGCTAGAAAAGTGGTGGATATATAATTATATATAGCCCAATTTAGAATTCTTAGGAATCTTTGAGGCTCTAAAAAAATAATTTGTCCCAACAAGGGGTTATATATCTTTCGGGCTCTATATAGAGCTATATATTTTATTTTATAGTAATTTGATTACATGGTAAATTTATTTTTGTCTTAAGTTTTCTTAACTTGATTTTTTGGAGTCTTATCTGAAATTTTAATTTATAAAATTTTTAACCTAAAAAAATTCAAATTCTGACAAAGTTATATTTCATCACTTATGTACTTTTGTAGGCTCTCTTATCTCAATCTCATTCGTTGGTATGTTTCTATGAAATCAGACAGGATAAGATTTCATTTCATAACAACCATTCGCTTTGTTTATCTTATCTCAATCTTATCTATTGGTTTATTTCTTTGATTGATGCATTCTCCGAAATCAAAGAAGATTTTTATTTCATAACAACCATTGGATTGGATTATCTTAGCACAATTTAGTTATGTTATTTGTTTATATTTTTGTTTTAGGTCTCTAAACTACCAATTAATTTCATCACTTTTTTATGAATTTTTCAATTTGATGTGGATCCCTGTACTTTTAGGGGGCTAGATGCAGCTTAACTCTTTGCTACCCAACGATTGAAATTACTAACCTATGTGATGAATGTAGTCCCCTTTTCGGTCCATTGAAAATGAAATTTTTTTTCATTAAAGCTACAAATGTGGTAACATCAAAGAAAATAAAGCCTACTACATGGGGGAAGTTGGCTTTTTTTGGAACTTTGGGTCCTTTTTATGGAAAATATATTTCATTTTCCTTGCACTTGACCCTCGTTGGTACAGAATATTGGATTATATGATTAAGAAACTATTTTTAAGGATCTTTTAAGGAAGAAATGGTAAAATTGTAAGCAAGAGTGCACTCCAACAACCGAATTAAAGTCGTCACTCAATACTGCAGTATAGTTTTTCTCTTAACTTATATAAGAGATCTTAAGTTCGAATCTCATGGATAGCGATTTCGATACCAAATTAAACTGCCCATTATGTGACTTTGCCAAACTCTCTCACCCTTTAATGTAAAAATATCGATGTACTTAAATAAATAAAAAGACAACCGAAATAAAGTTGAAAGTTGTACAGGGCCTTAGAAATTAACCGAAAGCAGCAAATAGTTGTCCGAGTTCCATCTCAAACTACATCATAAGATAACTACACTAACTTCCCAAAAACAATCAACCGGTTTGCAGTGCAGTAACAACCGCATACCAGTCAGTTGCAACGGGAAATTTCAGATAGATACTTAACGGCGGCAGACATCTAAAACAAGAGTGCAGCGAAGGGTATAGACACCCTTGGCACTTGGCAGACTTCAAAACGACACCATTACATTGCATAATCTTGCTACATTCTTATGGGCGACATCTCTTCGCAACCCCTCTCTCTAACAGTAAAACATAACCCTTTTGACATTCTCTTTCAGGGCAGGCAAGGGCCTCACTGCAGCATTTGGACCTGGTGCTCTTGTGCTCCGCGGACCCATACCCCCACCCATGCCCCCGCGTCCAGGAGCACCACTGGTCATTGATCCGCTGTCTGATGTCTCTGGTTCCAAGTAAAACCGAGCTCGGAATGCAGCAAGATGGGCGTAGTAAGCCGGAGGAACTGCAATTTTAAGGCCAAATCAGAACACTATCTATTAAACGAATCAACAAGGAAAATACTGAAAAGGCACCAGAGTGAGAGCTTACCAATGGAAACCGAACGCGTGCATCTTGCGTACCTGCAAGAGTTCAAGAGGTCAACTATTTAGCACTAGAGTTTAAGGATTCAAAAATATAAATAAATAAAATTCAGTGACTGAAAACGCTAAATCAGCCAACTTACGTATAGCAAAGATTGTTTGTGAGTGACTGCAGTTCATCAGCTGTAAACTTGTTTTCATCCCACAGCACGTGGTAATGAGCCGGACGGCTTGTACCCTGCAAAACATGGTGTATACACATTTATAAACATTCTGCTTCACAAACACACACATCACACAAAACAAAGAAAAAATCATTGCCTGAATTCCAGCATGGCTGCAGAGGTAGAAGTCAAACTCTGTTGGATGACAGATTTTGGAGTCCACAACCGTGCCTGCAGAAATAATTGGGTAAAAATTTCGCATAACAGGCATGAAAACTGAACTACATCATCCCAACATTTCATACGGTAAAATTAATTACCAGGTAAGATATTTCCACTCCTGTCAACTGCACTACGGTCATTATGATTGTTGGCAAACAACCTTGTGTGGTGACGTTTCTGAACCACAACAAATGTCACAGGTGGCTGATAGTTTGGCTCCAAGGAAGCACAAGCCTAAGAAGAAGAAAAATGACAAGAAGCAAAAAGATGTTAATAATATCACCAACACATAACAATATGCACAAACTATACTAACTTTAGAATAATCCAAAAATGCAAGTTTACCTTACGAATCGCATCAAGCTCGTATAGTAGAACTTGGTAGAACTGGCCCTCGCTGACACCGTCCCTGAAAAAACAAAGGTGGGTGTATACATACACACCATTAGACATAGGAGAAGTGCATAGGACACAAACAATGGCAAAGGAGCGTTAAATGCCTGTAAAATATGATACGCTGTGGCTTCTGTCCTGTTGCTCTACGGAACGAAATTAGCAGTTCCCTACATTAACAAACAAATTCAACTCAGTTCTGCACTTCCTAACAATCCCCAGAAAGTAGAGAATTAATATAATTATTGAGATAGATTGAGAGAGGGAGAGAGAGTGAGAGAGGGAGAAAGAGACTTTATCATTCCACCAGTTACAGTGCCCCTCTGAGGATCCTGCCAAGTTTTGAAGAGGTCTTGGATAAGCTCCTGGCGATGAGCTTGCGCACAGACCAAGCCAGCGTACTTGGTGATTTCTGGCCAATCTTGTGAGGCCACAACCTGTCATAAAAGACATGTGAACAATTAAATTGCAACTCCCTATGTGAATTCAAGACAAATATGTACACACTAGCAAAAGCCCATAGATATCATCGACAACATACAGCTGCTATTGATGGGCTTGAATCCTCCCCGGGATGAGGATGGGTAACATCAGCACCAAAAATTATAGTAGGACGGTCACTGACTAAAGGAATACGTCTTGACAGTGCATCAACAAGCACTGTGTTCCTTCCGCCAACCTTCACATTTATCTTCAAAGCAACATTTGCCAAGTATTGTTTACTCATTCTGAAAACATGTTTCGTCAAACAGCACTGGGATACCAGGCCAAGATCCGTCTCACAAATTCGTTTCAAGTCACCTGGATGGATATCAGTATATACAAGAATCTAGAACTTCAGGACAACACAAAATTGAGACGATATTATAGAGAGATAAAAAGCAGAATGAGATAATGGAGCCAAATGGTTTCAAATGCGTACCATAAAGATTGCCATTATTATCTGGTAAAATAACGACAAGCAGGTCAAGCTCCTTGTTCTGGGGTCGGAGTTTGGTCATTGCATCATGGTACCTAGTTTTTAAGGCCTTCTCTGCCTGATCAGGTCGAGCACTTATTGGTGGAAGTACCGATTCTGGATTAAACGCCTAATATAATAAACACTTCAGCATCAGAGAAATCCAAATATAGAAATCAAACAATGCAATTAAAACCAGTGGAAACCATAAAGATTAAAGAAAATTTCCATACCATGCCAGAAATGTAACACATTTGAGCAAGTTCATTACAGAAGGAACGGGCCACGTTGTCTTGAACATTTCGTGAAAAGTTAATGCAAATCCAATTGTTTACTCTTCCTCCATTGACCATTTTCTGCAAAAATATCATAGTAATTCAAAAGGTCTGTAATAATTCAGCAAGAAACAGGACATTCATTTGTCTACAGAATCAACCATAAGTCCAAATAAGTATTTATTAACCAAGTAAACATGCAAACTACTGAATGAATAATCACATAGTAAAGTGGGTAAACAGTTAATAACAATCAATCATACAAATATCCAGATATACAATTTCATACATGACTTAAGACAATAAATAACTTTCGTAAAAGGCATTAAAGAAACATTAATGCATAAATAATAAAAGAGGACTTTCTTGGGGTCGAAAGACAGATCACACTGACCACACACTTAAGTCAAGGTGAACAAGGGTTTAGAGGGGTGCCAGAATATTACCTTATTCATCATATTCCACTGACCAACTTGGGGCAGGCAATCCTTTTCCCTTCCAGTATCATGATATTTCAGCTGCGCAAACCAAAAATCAATACACGTATACTATCAAAGTACCTTTTGGGACTAAACGCAATTACATATCTTACCCAGGGTGCAGGAAGAATACGAGCTTCAACCTGAGCCAGATTCTCACTAATTTTGATTCCAAACTCCTTGGCATAAGGATCTTCGTGGTAAGCATTATGACGAACCGTCTGTAACATGTACAAAAATATTAAAATGGGATTTAACATATCACCATGAACTACATTTCTGGATAAAAGATGCCTTCTACCATAAAACCTCAAATGATGTGAGCATTTAAATTATGACACAGAAGATAAAGTTAAGGAAAACAAGGTGACGGTATTATCAAATAACAAAGCAGTAAGCAAAGGACTCATGGCATCAACTGCAATGAAAACCAAGTCATGACAAAATACAACAACCAAAAGATAACACACCCGAATAATATCTTGTTCCCTCTCATGAGGGCGCTGACAGGTGACCTTAAGCAAAGCAGTAATCTGTTTCTCGTTCAATCTCTTGGAATACCTTTGACCTTCGACAATTTTACAAACCTGAATCCAGTTACTGCTCATTAACATCCATATCACCATAGTATTACAAGCTAGAAATTATAGAAACAACTCACCTCCATGGGCAAATAATTCGGCCGCTGTTGATTTCCAACTTGAAGGCAAGGCCATTGTGTATGTTGAATGACGAAACCATAAGTTTCATAGAAGTACTCAACAACAGATTTCATAGTTCTTTTTTCATCAACAGGGAAACTGAACAGACAAAATACAATCTCAGGGAAACAAGTTTCACACACCTCAATGTGCTCTTAAAACAAATACCACATTAATAAATATACAAGCATATGAAGGCATAAGAAATATACAAATATATGAGTTAAGAAGTACTCACGTCAGTTCCCTTGTTGCCTGTGACGTTAAACCAGAAATACGGTACTTTCTGCGCATATTTCCTCGGTGTGTGACCTCAACCTTGACTCCACGAAGAGCCTTTTTAATCTGTTCACAAGTCAAAAGTTACTATGATAGCTAATATAAAAATTATGGCAAATATAACTGTACACTAATCGTGATACACACTCCATATACACCATCAGATCTATAAACATATAGTTTTAAGTGAATGTACAAGGATCAAGGATTACCTCCAAAAGAACTACACAAGCATTAACCCTAGTCAATGAGTTTTGACGTATGTAAGTTAATTTTAACAAACAGATATACACAAGGAAACACGAAACAGATTAAAAGTACCAACACCAGTGCACCACAATAATTGTCAAAATTTGAAACAAACACTCAAGAGAAACAATTAAATCACCAAAACAGAAAAAATTAGGGAAACCTAACCTTTACACGATCAGAATCAGAAAGTGGCCTATGTGTAACATCCCGATTCAGTAGCTGTGTTACGAACTCAATAACTGGCAATGGCTCAATAAAAGCAGTAGAGGACATGTCTGGACAGCACATGTTTTGTAAACAAAGCACCAGTCAGCAGAATAACCATGCAGTGTAATACATCACTATTACAACAATTAAATTGATAAGAGTAGATAATCTGTTATTCACAGAAATGATGCACGTAGGGATAGCATAAAATTAAGTACCAATATTCAGAGACAGCCCCATCTGAGTTGGACGAATACTCTGATAAAAACCACGCCAACTTTCCAAACCATCACCAAGTGACTGTCTTCTACCCAAATCAGGGGAATAAAATGAACGGCCCACAGGACAGTACCTACAACCGAACAGGAGAAATTAGCTATCAAACATATAAAACATAAATGTGTCATTATGTCATCACCAGGAGGAAGAAACACTATTTACCTAGAAGTAGGCAATTCACGCAGAACAATGTCCAAAACCTGAAGTGCCTCTTGAGGTGCATCAGCTTGCCTCCCTTGCAGAAAGAGACCTAAATGGTGTAGGTCAGCGCGTGCTGCAAATTTTATGACAACCCTAAATTCCCTCTCTCTCCTGCCATCAAGAAGAAAGCCATGTTCAAATACATACAAAATAAGAGTGCACAGAAAAAAATGTACTAAACATAAAGAGCTGTGAGTACGCACCTTTGTCCACCTGATCCATCATCATCATCAATAAGAGTGATTTTAAACTCCTTTGAAAGGAAAGGAAGTGGGCCGGCAGTATACAGGCTCTTTCGTCCATCATAAGCTGGTAGACGTTTTCCAAGATGGGATTCCCTGTACTGTTTCACCAGCTGCTCCATCACAGCACGATTAACACCCCTTGATGTGACCTCTGGTGTAATAGTAACCTATTACATATAATGAAAAGATACATTATCAATAGTAGTACAATATCAAAAGATAGACACAGATGGCAAGAGAGCTTACGTCATACTGGTGGAGGTCTTTGTCGGGTAATTCTGCAAAGAAATGGTTTGCCTTGACTGTACACCTTCTGCCAGTGCTACCCTTACCCGGGCGAAGAGGGAACCTGACTGACTTACTTGAGGGAGCCACAGGTTGAATAGCCTGGCTAGGTGCACTCTCTTGCTGGACGGTAAGGTCAGCAAGCTGCTCCGCTACTTCTGAAGGCTCAGGTGGCTGGGAAGATGATGAACTTCCACCATATACAGGCGGAGAGGTAACCCCTTGATAAGGAACTTGGGGGGTGGCCTCTTGGTAAGGAACTGGGGTTGCTTGGTGCAGCTCGGGGAACTGAGGTCTGGTTGGACCACCAGGAGAAGGTGGTCCTCCACGGCCAATGCCACCACGGGCACCTCCATAACCTCCTTGCTGAGTCGGTCCTCCCCTGCCTCTGCCTTGATATTCCTGTGGCCCACCATACTGCTGTTGTTGGTATTCTTGGGGCCCACCATATTGCTGCTGTTGTGGCACTCCGCGGCCACCACGACCCCCTCCATAGACTCCACGACCTCCCTGGGGGGCAGGTCCACGACCACCTCGGTAGTTTCCTCCACCCTGTTGTTGTGGAGTCCTTTCAGGAGCACGCTGGGAACCACGACCACTACCCCCAGCAGGTTCATGAGACTCGGAACTTTCCCCACTAGGGAGTTCAGTTCTCCTCTTCCTCACCATGATGATGTCTATACAAAGAGAATCAGCATTACATCAAAAGAACCATTTGCAAAGAAACCAAAGGCTATAGACTGAAAACAATGTATTAAAGAATATATACAATAAAAGAAAATGCATAATGTACACCAAGCCAAAGAATCCACTCATGAGCTAGGGTTTTCCAGCATACAAACATATATCCAAGGGTTTTCAAAAGGCTGAGAGATACATACCCAGAACCACATCATATACAGTGCGCCGAATAAATAACGAGTAAACACTAAAATAACAGAAAATACTTCAATCAGAACGAGTTAAGGTTACCCAGAATTTTTCAGTGCGATAATTTTGAAAATCCTATGTGCGTTCCTGGAATTTGGTAAAATGTACCAGGAATTTCATGTAAATTTCAGTTTTTTTTAAATTAAAAAAAAAATACGAGAAAAATTATAAACACAGACGATAAAATGCCTATCATCAATTACTTTGATACAAGCACGCCCAACAACTCTAGCACCCAAGTACAAACCCAGAATAAATAAATCACTATACCAACTATAAACCCTAAAAGATCACATTCTTAGAATCCCAAACAACCACGTATGCTTCCCGGCATTGCAAAATACGCATGAGATCTAACGATCTACCAAAACAAAACGCAGCGTAAAACCCAAGCGACGATAAAGCCTTTCAGAAAAAAATAAAAATAAATTAAAAACGTAAATAGACCTTCGTTAGAGAAACTGGAGCCTAACACCAATTTTATGGCAAAATATGCAGATCCATACCACAAATTAGCAAATAGAAAAGTGAGAGCGAGAAGAAAAACAGCAACGGGAACAAATGGGATTACCAAACCCTAAAACGAGTCGTTGCGAGTGGTTACCGTGAAATCAGAGCCCCGATGACCGTCGTACAACGCCGCGGCAGCGGTTGCTTCAGAGGGCGAGAACGATGAAAGCGAAAAGGGTCTTGCCTGCCTACTCAGTAGTCACTCTCTCCCCCTCTCTCTCAATTGAAAATTCTAAATAATTTTATAAATAAAAAAACCCCAACGCAACTACGCTTCCCACATTGTGCTTTTATAGTACCCAGCGGGTAGGTCATTCGAAATGACCACTCCGTCCTTCTTCCTACCCCTACTACTTCATCCAATAATATTAATTTCATTTTCATGTTGTGAAAGCTACATTTCTTTCTAAAATCAAGAAAATAAAACTTGTTATTGATACTTTAAAATAGTCATCTCGTATTCATTTAAATAAAATTCATTGTAAAGTGATATTTAATGGTGTATTAATCGCATTAAAATAAAAACAGAAAATGTACCGATTACTTTTTAAAGTTTTTAGGCGAGTCGTACACGACACATTGAGATTCGAGCTTATCGGGTCATATTGAAAACGAATAGATACATTACTTTATGGGTTGTACCGTGTCAACACTCTACACTCATTTCGACACTTTGACAAAAGTCTAATTACTTATTTTCAGGTATATTCAAACATGTTAAGGGGTTGATGTTCCAACCTAAAACAAAGTGGGCAAATAAGGGTGTGAAGAAATGTCTCAATTCACTAGTTAATTTGTCTATGTGCTTGACTCGACCACACACGAGTAGGCATACGAGTGTGAAGAAATGTTCCACTTAAGAAAGTTTAAAAACATTGCAAAGGGTCTTTAAGAATATGGGTTTAAGTAAGGAGTTAGTCACCCACCCTACTCCCAATCGATTTTGGTATAAAACTTTAAGAATGGATTTAAAGATGTACTAAAAAAGAATTGGTTTAAAGATAAATGCATCTCAATAAACCAAACCAATTAATATAGGTCTTATTTAAAGAAGCTTTTATGGAAAAGACATCCTCATAGCGGTATTATTGTACATGAATGGAAAAGACATACACAACCTAATTTTACATCTTACACATCTCTTTTAATTTTTTGATTATCGAATTAAATAAATTAAAAAAGATTAATAAACAAACTTTAACAAAGATGCGCAGCAGGTAAAAATAGACATGTGAATAATATTATTAATAATGATATCTACCTGAAAGAGATGGGGGAATAATGTTGTACATGAACGGCTAGCTGGATAGTGACATGGCTCAAATGCCAGGATGGGTAACAGCAATACATCTCCTTTCCTTTTCTTTTCTTTTCTTTTTACTCAATTTTCGACAGCCGCATCACCTATTCATTTATTTCATGTAATTTTTAACCCGAGGCTGCTTATTAATTTACCAAAGTACCACTGCTCAATTATCCAATCCAAGGGTCAATACCGAATCCAACGGTCAATGTATTCGCAGAGGCTGCTTCATTTTATAGCCAGCTATGAAGGGCAAGCTATCTACGCTTAATCAGGTTAAAGTTAGGGGTGTGATATCCATACATCCTATTTTACTACTCACACACCTTTTAATTTTCGACCGTTTGATCAGATGAATTGAAGAAGATCAACAGATAAAAATTATCAAGAAATGGTTGAAAAGTAAAATGAGGTATGTGGATAACACATGTCTAAAATTTTTGCTCGTCGTGTCAATCCTTCTTGTTCACTCCGGGAGTTGGTTTGAATCTCATGGTCATCATTTTTTTAGTGCCTTTTAGTATAATGATTTGGCGCTCCGTTTTGATTGCTTGTGACGTGCTCAATTAAATCCTTTATGGCCTCTATTCTTAGTACTGGTTTGGTACTGAAGTTCTTTTATAAAAAGTGAGTATCAAAAAAAGCTGAACTCAAAAAGATGTTTGATAAACACTTAAAAACGACTTATTTTCACAATTTTGGGTTAAAAAAAGTTGAAAACTTACGGCAGCAAAAATGAGCTTATTCTCACAGCACAGCAGAAGCAGTTTTTTTTTCTTCAAAACACAACAATACCAAACCAGCCATAAGATTGGACGGCTTCTCATTGAAAAAGAAGTTCCTTAGTTCCTAGGGTGAAGAAGTTGTGTTTGGATGCTACTGTTTACGGTCTATGAAAAGAAAGGAACAATCGGATCTTCAACAACTCTAGGAGTTGTCATGATATTCTCACCACCGTTAAGCTGAAGCTTTGAAGCTTTGCTGTCTGGTGCGCGTCTCTCTCTCTCTACATTATCAAAGGTAAACCTTAATTATTAATATGATTATATGTTAAGATAATGGATTTTTCTGCAAATGTGAAATGTCCCAGCAAATGGAAACCTCCCTCATTTGAAGCACAGGTCAGAGAAGATAAAGGGACTCCATCCGGTAGATTCGGAGGGCTTTTGCATCTTCACAAAGGACTTCCTCAGATTATTTTAAGAAAAAGCATCCGTTCTATAAACCCAAACTCACGTTACAAAAGATTTGAGGAATCTTTAACTTTCTTTTTTTTTGTTTAATCCCCCAGGAAGGCAAAACCTAATTATACAATGTAAAAAAACTGTAGTATGGCCTACATCTGAAGCAACTACAACTTGTGAACTTGTCAATGTAATGGAAGTGCTCGGTTAATCGTAAATGAAACTAACCTGCTAAAAATGCAGCAATTATGTAGCCAAAGAGACAAGGGGAAGGTTGAACAATGCACCCCTGAATCCATCGGCTTCACCAGAAGTCTGCACAACTGCAAATTCCATCCTTGAAATGATGAAACCGACTCACATCTCTTACAGTTATTTCTCTCTTTGTAACAAGAGTGATGAACTTTATGGCAGCATGGCAATCACCACAAACCCGCAAATTTTTGGTAACTAAGATGGATTTGCCCTGGCTCAGACAAAGAATTGCATAGGCAATGGCTAGTTTCTCACTGTGGTAAAGGAGGATTCTTTCTTTCTCCTCTTCCTCAACATCTTGGAGAACAAATCTATTTTCCACACGATATCCCAGCTGTTTCATATCTACTAGTAGTTCTTCTAGTTTTTCATGTATCTGAGCTGACTGAGGATGGGACTGATCTCCACCGACAAATCCATGGATAACACCATCGATCTCAACCCAACTGCATCCTGGACTCTTCTTAAGGCCTTGGTCCTTCTGCTTGATTCTGACATCGGCTGCATCATCCCACCTCCCAACAGCACTGTATAAGTTAGATAAAAGGACCAAATTCCCAGTACCTTCAAGTCCTTTCCCTTGAATTTTCTTGGATACTTCTTCCCCGAGTTCCATATTATTGTGGACTCTGCATGCAGCAAGCAGTGCACTCCACACACGAACATCAGCCTCAAACGGCATTCTTTGAATGAAACCGTGTGCCTCATCCAAAAGTCCTGCCCGGGCGAGAATATCCACCATGCATATGTAATGTTCCATCCTCGGGTTTATGTTAAACTCCTGACTCATTGTACTAAACCAGTGTTTGCCTTCAGTTACAAGCCCCGAATGGCTGCAAGCAGATAAGAGGCCAATGAAAGTCACATCATCGGGCTTAATGCCAGATGACTGCATATGATGGAACTGTGAGATTGCTTCCATCCCAAGGCCATGATTCCCATAACCAACTATCATTGCATTCCATGAAATAATATCACGCGTAACCATTTTATCAAAAACTTGCCTTCCTACATTGATCTTCCCACACTTTGAGTACATGTCTATTAAGGCATTACAGATTGAGGTGTCTGTACAAAATCCGTGAACAATTGAATAAGCATGTCCACAGGCCCCGTGCTGTAGAGCGGCCAAATGTGAACAAGCAGGCAGAACACCCTTCATGGTTGCCACATCTGGATTGATCCCAGACAATTGCATATTATGGAACATAAGTAAAGCCTCCTTTGCATAACCATTCTGCACACAGCCTGAGATGATAGCACCATAAGAAACTGTATCTTTGGAGTTCATTGTATCAAAGAATCTGACTGCATCATCATTAATCCCACACTTCGCATACACAGACAGCATTGTGTTACCCACCATTTTATCTAAATCAAACCCAGCTTTAATTGCATAGCAATGAACCCGTCTCCCTCTACTCAGATCAGTTAGCTTTGCGCAAGCTCGTAGAATGCTCCCGAGAGTTACTGCTGTTGGATTTATTTCCTCTCGTAGAACCATTTCATCAAACAATGCTATCGCCTCTGTCATAGAGTCACAGATAACATATGCACCTATCATAGCACTCCAACAAACCTCGTTCTTGAAATTCATGGCATCAAAGATTCTCCTCGCATAAGCTATGCACTGACATTTAGAATACATATCCAAAAGGCCAGTACCAAGCACCACCTCACCACTAAAGCCCCTTCTTAGGGAGTAACCATGCATTGCCTTCCCCTGCCTCAATGCATTAGCTTGTGCAACAGTGGGAAGAACCGAAACAATGGTGGAAGAGTTTGGGCTTGTTCCCGCTCGCTGCATTTGAACAAGCAACTGTACAGTGTCATCATAAAGACCGTGTAGTGAAAACCCAGCAATCATTGCATTCCACGCCACAATGTCTTTGTACAGCATGCCATGGAACACCCTCTGAGCCTCCACCAAGTCCCCACACTTGGCATACAGGTCGATCAAAGCAGTGCAAACGTAGACATCAGAGTGAAGCCCAAGTCCTCTGGCATGCTCATGGATCTTTCGGCCAACTTCGAGTGCTTGTAAACCGGAGCAAGCCTTGAGAACAAAAGGGTAAGTATAGTTGGTGGGTTGAACGCCGGATTTGAGCATGCCATGGTACAAGTCGATGGCTTTATCAAGGGGCCCGTTCCAAGCGTATCCTCTTATCAAAAGGTTCCAAAGAATAACACTTGGTTGGGGAATTTTATCGAACACGCGGCATGCAAGCTGGAGTTGATTGCAGGTTATGTACAAATGGGCTACTTTTTCAAGCAAAAAGGAGCTGTCTTTGAGGTGGGTAGTGTTTTTCAGGAGGAGCTGATGGATTTTCTTGCCTTGAGGAAGAGATTTGGATCGAATGCAGGCTTCGAGAAGGTGTTTGTAATCAAAGTCGAGACGAGTGAGGGTGTGTGTCGAAAAATTGTGGGTTAATATCACAATGGCTTGCTGAGTGGTATGATAGTATTGACTCCGACTCCGACTCCGACTCCGAGAGAATGATCGCCTACCAAAACATAACATCTCCCTCCCTCCTTGTTCTCTCTTACTTTCGCCTAATCACGACGACTCTAAAACTGTAAACACAAGTTAAATAGACTTCTGCACAAATTTAGAAATAAGGCTTCAACCAAAAGTAAATAAAAAATATATAATTTAAAAAAAAAAACCTAAAAGGGGTATTCAATAATCGTCTTTGACGAAAATCGAACCTAAAGCCTCATTCACTTATAAGTGGAGAAATAAAACTAGACTGTAATACCAAGAGGTAAAAAGGTAGTCAATATTTTATACATTAAATTTTGATATAAGTCCAATTTTGTAATTCATTATTAAGTTTGGGCCACTGAATAATTATATTTTTTTATTAAAGGGTAATGCTTGATGGCTACGAATTACCCACACAAATTGATCAAGACATTACAATATCACTAAAAGTAGCATCGGCTTCTCATTTATGATGAAAAAAATATGAACTCTTGTTTCCACTCCCAAACAAGAGCCTACATAGGAAAGCCTACTCGTCCTTGTACCTCTTCTCCACTTCCTACTCGTCCTTGCAGATGTTAATCACCTTCTACGCTCCGTCGGAGCTCAGCTCCAAGAAGTACAATCGCCGTTACAGCAAAAATAACACCTAGAGCAATCCATGGCGGTTTCCAAGAGAAGTTATATGTTTACCAGCACATGGTCATGGATCCAAAGCCGGCCACCACAACAAATTTCCCATAAACGATGTGGGAGGATATTGTTGCAATGACTTCGGAAGGGAGTCGTTCAGCAAGTTGAATAACAAGTTCAGCTGATCCCAAAAGTGAAGCTTGAGGTCCGGCATTCTACCTGTGAATTCGTTTTGCTGAAGAAGTGTGCAATTGGCTTAGGCTATTAAATCTTAGACTGTGCATGCTATAAATGCAATTTGGTATTTGTTCGGTGCAGTTATTACCTTGAAGTTACAAGTTCTCCATCATCAGGCAGGCTGACAAATCTGCCGGTAAAGTGCTGTGCCGGTGAGTCCATTCATTCGAAAGGCCATCGGTTTTAGATGCCTCAGGTGTTAGAAATTGAATTCCATCAGGAATAACACCAGATAGTTGCGTTCTTGAAGGGCGAAGAATAACTACTCTGCCCTTTCGGCAACCACGCCAGTCCATGTGCAGGGCGGCTCACTTTCATTTCATTGCAATATTTCTCCGTTGCAATGTCTTAAAAATTGTAAAGTATTTCTCTGTTGCAATAGTCTTCCACGTAGACGTTGATCACACTGAGCACCAACGTGTTCTTCTGTTGATATTCGGCATACAAGTCAACTAAGATGTAGCGTTTGAAGTCCTGCACCGTGATTTCTTCACGGAGTATTGCAATTTCCAATTCAACAAGACTAGATCCCGCCAACAACTTCTGAAGTATCTTCAAGAATTCCCCATAAGTTGAGTCGTCAAGTTCAGAATAATCGAGGTAAAGAGGGTTAGCTTTAATCTACTTGATGTTGCCCAAGCAGATTGTAACTATGTAATTGTATAGTACATATATCAAGTTGATTGAAACTAGGTAAAAAGCCATCGAAGTAGAAGCTTTCCAATTGAAGAAGCAGCATTCCAATTTAGAGAGAGAGAGTACTTTCCACACAAAAAAATATTAAAGAGAGGGAGAGAAAGATTAATGGGCGTGCCGTTGATTATTTGGTTCAGCATGCATGAGGAATGACGAAATAAATTTTGGCACAGATTGTGTGTTGATAAGATTTTTTGTTGTTAAAGAAAGATTGGTTTCGTATCAAAGTACGAACTGTGTGGTCAAGTATTTAATACGATTCCATAAGATATAGTTGTGATCAATTTAGAAATAGTAATTTTGATTTCATTCATAATGAAATTCTCATGCTATTTTAGTAGATGAAAATACATAGTATAAGACCTACTATATATATTCTCAGAATCTCAATGACGAGCCAGCCATGCAAATAATCCTTATGTTTACATATAGAGAGGTAACCAGTAACCCCATATACATATGCATGTAATTTCAGCAACAAAAGAGCATGCACTTGACCAGCCATCAACTGTACAAAAAATATGCACATTAATTCAAGGCTACAAGATGATCAAGAAACAATTACAGTCTAGATGAATGTGTGTTGTTTAGAAACTCATATGTTTCCGACAAAGGGCCAGATATTTTATTATTTACAAGTAATTTTATCATTTTGAAAAAGGGGAGAGAGAGGGGGAGGGGTCACGTGGCCCCTGACCCTTCTTCAACTTCAAAGAGCTAGATATTTCATAATTTATGAGTAATTTTATCATTTCGAAAAAGGAGAGAAAGAGGGGGAGGGGTCACGTGGCCCCTGGCCCTTCTTCAACTTCATTCCGGTACATGACATCACGTTATTGACATCACACGATCTACATCTAAAGCTTGATGTGGATTTTGTAGTGACCAATAGCTGGTAAAAGTTGAAGAGAAACAATGAAAGACAATAAAATATAGTATGTAAAGGTGAATGAAGATGACAGCCTTGTTTTGAGTTTTGGTCCAGTAGTACAGTATAACTTTAGATAATTTAGTAACTCAACTCGTTGTCAAAATCTGATAAGATACACTGTAACTGTAAATTATTAAGAAGCGTTCGGCCGGAAAGGGATAAGGGGATTGAGGCTTGAAAAAACAAAAGTGAAACTAAGCTACCAAATTAATTAACAGAATATATGATGTGTTGCAAGAGCGAGTGACACATGCTATACTGTATTGTAATGAATGTTGAATGTGCGATTGAAATTCATAGTCTAACAACAACGTATTTTGATGATAAATCCTAACATGAGAGCGCATATAATATGTACGAACACACGCATATTTATATGATTTTTGCTTACAAATAAAATTTTTCTTTGGTAAAAACAAATAAGCAAAATTGAAAGATAAGAAAAATTTAAAAACATTCAGTAAGGCAGAGAAGTGTCAATAGGAAGAAGGTTTTGTCTGAGAATCTGGAAAAGGAAAAGTGAGGTCCTGATGAGGAGTGGGGAAAGACCTTAATACAAGGGACTTTCAGTCCTTTTTATACTTGTATATATAACATGATCATGATCCATAAATCATTAGCTAGCTAGCTAGGAGGAGGAGAAGGGCGATCGATCGATCGATCGCCAAGGAAACAATCAGTAACAACAAAACTAGCTAGCTTAAGCCGTGCTTTGATATCAATTATATGGCGCCAGTGGGATTACCTCCCGGTTTTAGGTTCCATCCAACGGACGAGGAGCTGGTGAATTATTATCTCAAGAGGAAAATCAACGGCCAAGAGATTGAGCTCGACATCATTCCTGAAGTTGATCTCTACAAATGCGAGCCTTGGGAATTAGCAGGTCGTTCACCGATCATCATTTGAGTCCCTTTACTTTATCAACACCATTATTATTCAAGCAGTATACCATTCGTGATAGTTAACTTTCTGATTAGCGTTTGAGCGTTATCTTAGTATATGTATAATGCAAATTTGATTGGTGCATCAATGCAGAAAAATCGTTTTTACCAAGTAGAGACCCCGAGTGGTACTTCTTTGGACCGCGGGATCGAAAATACCCTAATGGATTCAGAACGAACAGAGCAACGAGAGCAGGATATTGGAAGTCGACTGGGAAAGACAGGAGAGTGACGTGCCAGAATCGAGCAATCGGAATGAAGAAGACGCTGGTTTACTACAGAGGCCGAGCTCCTCAGGGCATTCGGACTGACTGGGTCATGCACGAGTATCGCCTCGACGACAAGGACTACTACTGCTCCTCCGACCTCGACACCTCCTCCTCATCATCTGCCGCAATTCAGGTACCATATTCTCCATCAATTTATACACGCATTGTTTGTGCTCTAAATTAACTAATATTACACACATTAGTATACAAATATAATGTCCACACGTTAATTAGTCAATTGGGAGGATTAAGCATTCTTTGTATCTGTAGCTCATTTTATTTGTCCCAAAATATTCTCATCATTAAATTGAAGAGTATGGTGGGATTTAATTAATGAAAGCTGCGAGTGTGACTTATAAATTCTAGATGATCACTCACCAATTTATTCATTAGAAGGAACTCATTAGTGTCACTGTTACTAATTATCTGATGAAAAAGAAAGACAAGATGATCAGAATGATTATAGTGAGCTTTAGTTGGGGAAGTATAATTTCACATTGTTTTTCAACAATCAAACCTACTATTTTTTAAGTTTTTGTCAAAAATTATCTCTACCAAAATCACACAGAACGGAAACCCTAAGACCATTGTTTCAGAGATTAATCTTTTTTCGAATCATCATACAATATTTGACCTAAAAAGCATGAAGTTCGATGCTTGAGGCAGGGAGAAAAGCATTTTCCTTTTTCATGCTTTTTATTATAATTTTACCTCTTTTGCAGCGTGAGATGCAAATCCTTGGCTACGCTGCCCCTAAACTTAATTAACACTCCACTTAAAAGAAAAATTAATCGATCAATTATAGAGCATAATCAATCAGAAAGCTTTGGACCATAAGTTAATAGTGTATAATAATGAAAAGTAAAACTATCCACGTAAAACTTGCATGAGTTTGCATTTGCATGCATGGAATTTATGATATTATATTTTGAAATATATAAATAATGGAATAAATAAACAAATACCTGACAATATTCGTTGCTTGCAGTGGATCACTTAAATCTCTTTTCTTTTTTCTAATCAGACAAAAGTACAATCCTCCACAAGATTCAGATATAAATTAATATCCATTAATTAACTCAAGCTTAATTAAGAATTAAGGATTATTATACTGAAATTACGTTTGATCATACAATTAATTAACCACAAGAAGCAGCCTAGCTAGCTCCACATCGATCACTTTCATTTATGTAAGGTGTCGGGGACTTTTTACTTTATTCCGAACTCCAAAATAATAATTAATATGCATATATTGTAATAAATTATACGAACTTTTTAATATTTTAAAAATATGGTACACCAAATGATATAACACGAGTAGTTTGATGCTTGAAAAAAAAAAAAAAAATTAAACACTTATATTGTGACATTTAATGTAGTAAACCGTGTTCCTGCATGATCGGCACATTAAAAAAAATCTCCCATTATACAATATCATTCCAACTCCTTTTACACTTTGCTTGATAAATTAACAAATACTGAATTTATATAGCAGGATTCTTTTGCATTGTGTCGCGTGTTTAAGAAAAATGGCATTTGCGCGGAGATTGAAGAGCAGCAAGGCCAATCAAGTAATTTAACACTAAATAATATTCATGAACGATCACAAGGTGTAAGCAACGATTATTGTGATCAAACCATGTCACCGGAGATTCCGATGGCATCGTCATCGTCAATCTCATGCCTGCAGGAGGAAGATGAGAAAGACGATTCCTGGATGCAGTTCATCACAGATGATACGTGGATGCAGTGTTCTTCTAACACCGGTGTCAGTGGTGAAGATCAGCTCTCTCATGTGGCCTTCACAAACTAACTGATCAGTGAAGATGAGTACATGGATGGTTACCGGAATTGGTGTTAACAGTAAATAACCTGAAAATGCATGCACGGACGGATGTAATTTTCAAACAATAAAATACAACATATATATATATATATATATATATATATGTATGTATGTATGTATGTATGTATACACGATTTCATGAAGAACACTAGACAAAGTTTGTAAGGTTTGTCATCATATCTTCATTAATTTGTAGATTAATTATCTTAAATTGGCTTTAGCCATTTTATGATGGTTTGGTTTGGTTCGGTTTAGTTTTGTTGGTGGATTCTCTTGAGAGTCAGTTTATCAGATGACCAGTCTAGAGATTTAGTTATTAACCTCTTTCCTGAGGTGATTTGGGTGTTACTTGTGGAATAAATATATACAATACATTGTGGAATAAATATATACAATACATTTTTAACGATTGGATTTTGAAGTTACCTCTTGAATGTCATATTAATCTTCACAGTTTCCACTGCTTGAATTCTGCAGAGCCTAACATGAAGGAACTAGCATGTCGATGCCCACCGCCTCCAAATTCCTGAGAAGAAAATGCAAAACGCATTTTAGCTTTTCCCAAAGTACTACGTATATGTGCCAGTTAATTCCATGTTTAACAGGCAGAAGGAAAATCCATATGATGAGAACAACCTGTGAGATGAGCATTGTGTCTTTCGGTGTCCACGCTCCTAAGGCTTATTTTTAGCATTTGGTCATTTTCAAGCTCAGGCACTCTGTATACAACAGCACCAATGCCCCTACAGAGAATTTGAAAGAAAAAAAAAACAAAACTAAAATGTAAAATGGAAGGATAGCACCGATTACAATACATCTCAAACAAGTTACTGAAGGTGCATTGGATATCCAGAAGGGTGGAACAGTTTGAGCTGAGCTCAATAAAAACTACTGGAGTTGATGGAAACCATGCTTTGGAAGAGATCAACGTCAATTAAAACAAACAAAATAACAAGACGAAATCATGAATTGCTAGAATAGTGCATTCAAGGAGGAGTCTAACATGGGTCCAATTAACCAGACTTTTTACCAAGTAAAAAAGGAACAAATATAGCCCCACTGGTTCAACATGCTTCAATCCTAGCATCAGTTTGGATAGATAGCTTTAATTTTACATCGCATGGTTTCTCCCTTAAAACTTTTACATTTTCTTTCTACAATTCTTGTAATTGCAAATCCATTCGCAAATGGAGAAACTACTTCCTCAACTAAAATTCCTTTGCCAAAAATATCATCATCATGAATGCAGCTCTTGGAAAGATTACTATGTCAGAAGTTGAAATTCCATTTTTTAGCAAATTACCTGGTCCCTCCTAATCAGATGTGATTTGTGACCCTCCAAACAGAATGGATTGAAAGGCATGGATTGCGAATATAAGAAAGGGCAGTTTCTGGAGAATGGAATTCCACAACTGAGTAAACCCTCCTCTATGAGGCCACAACTGAGACATCTCCAATTGGTTGCTCTTTCAACTAAGGGGACATTTTCTCCATTTGAATGAATGAAATTATACCACAGTTATATAAATAAACATGATAACTGAGGAACTACCAGTGTCCTATATAAGATGCCACTCCAATGCTATAAAGGGAGAAAAAATGCTATATTCATCGTGCAATTGTTAACACTGCTTTATAGTTTTGTGCATTCAACTTTCTTGGTGGATTTAACTTATAAACTATAAAGACAAGAATTGGAATGTGATAAGCAAAATACATTGTGGCATCACCACAACAGCAGCACTTTTGAAGAAAGCAAAAACAAGGCAAGAAATTCAATAACTTTCACAAAATTCGAACTAGAACCAATGATAAAATCACACTAAATTCAAACTAAAAAAGCCCAAAACTTGTAATCTTGATGCATTGCAGTAATGTAAAGAGTGGCAACATTAAGCGTGCCCCGAACATTATTGAAAAGTTTGGAAAGGAAAAAAGTAACAGAGTGACCAGACAAAAATTCCGATATATGTATACATTTCAAGACCATGAGCAAGGAAACAGAACGGCACATACCTTTAGTTTAGACTACGGCTTTTAGTAGCTAATTGATGTCCGAGTTCACTCCTCAGCTCGGAGATAGAATCTGCATTGATAGCCTACAAGCAGAAAAGATAAGACTATGCATAAACACACTAACACACACACACACACAGCAGCAGCAGCAGCAGCAGTCCAATAGAATGCAGAAAAGAAGTATACTAATAATACCAGGCAATTTCCAAAGGCTCCACCGCCAAGCGAAATTTCATAAGACTTACTGAGAGCTTCATCTATTAATTTCTGCTTTTCCGATAAGCTCGCCATTCCTTCACTAATCAAAGACTCCAAATCCAAAGACAGCAGCTGCTCATTCAAACCAAAAATCAATAAAGCACACAACTTTTCAGTAATTTCAACGCCGTCAATTAATGAAGCAAGCAAATTTGATATTACCTGTTGGAACAAAGATGGGTTCAACCCAACGTCGTATTGAAGGTTCAAATCTTTGAAACCACTACTGAAAGCTTTACTGTTGGGAAGCTTCCACCTCCATAGATCACCATCTTCGATATACTCGAACAGCCTCCTCACTCCGTCAAACCGAGCAACCGCTGCCTTGTTGTCGGCGTCAATTTTGTCCCTGAAGTAATCGAAAGCGATGGTGGCGCTGGCGCCGCTCCTGTTCATGTCTACGACGCCGGTCACATTTCCGCCAATGGGGGTTCCAATGGCAGTCTTGTGGTGGTCCAAGACCACGACGTTTGGGACCACGGAGGAGATCTTCTGGACAAAACCGGGGGGACCCACGAAGTCGAGGAGGTAGAGGTGGTCGATGTTGGGGAGAAGGAGGTGTTGGGGGGTGATGGGGCTGTAAACGGTGTTGGGGAAAAAGAGGGGTTCGGCAGAGACGGCGGAGAAGTAGAGGTGCGCTGCCAATGCAGCAAAGGCGCCGTCCGGACAAGGGTAGTGGTACAGCACAGCCGGTCTCCTGGTAACTACCATATTCAACTTTGCCGTGCGCTCCGCCCCTTCTACCTTCTAAAAATTGATTCAAGTTGGAGGCTAGATAACCGACGATTTGTGTAATGATTGAGAGACTTGGGACATTAAATTTTGTAAATTAAATAATATGAAAGTTGATGAGTAAATTATTATTTAAATGTTAATAAACGTGCTCATTTCTTATAGGTGACACATTATTTAGTTTGTAAATTTAGTCAACGTAAAATTACTCGGGACAATTTATGCAACTAGGTCCTCTTAATTTCTCCAAAGGATGGATGCTTTGCCAATTGACAACTTGTATAAATGGGAAGAATATATCAAGGAGAGTGTATTAATGGTAAGAATACGTTCACCAAGTGAAGCAACAATGTATCGAGCAGAGTGTCATAGGAGAATTAGAGTTTCATAGTAATTTTATGTACTCTGATGGTAAAAGGGAGATCTTGGACACCTGGGATTTTGGCTTACTTCTATCAGGGCCCCTTATGTAGTATGAATACCTTGACTGGCAACGTGAAAAGGTTTCTACCACCTTGTTATGATCATCTAAACCAATGGTGATGCGTAAACTTAGCATAAACATGAAACATACGATACCACGAGAAGTGTAGGCATCTCATGCTCTGCTCTAACATGATGCCATCATTTTCAGCTGCGCTGCCCTGATTGTGACTGTCATTATTTTCAGAAACATGTGTTAGCCTCATAAATCGAATCCCCTTAAGGATATGCGTGCTGGGTAGCGCTAAAGTATGTTGCTTCACTGAAGTAGTGCATGACTGCTCTCATATCATGACCTAAAACTAGCTGGCTACATATCAAAGCAATATGTGTTGACGTTAGGAGGGAAACCGCTACCAGGTGTATTCTTCTCTTAAAAGTTCTACATGCTTTCAATTGGAAATCTTTGCTTATTGACGTCTAGCTCCAATGACTGTAGTCTTTTATACCTGTTCTAGTGTCTGGACAGTCGGTTGTTTTTGAGCTTGATGAAACATTGAGTTGTTTGTTTGATGGAGTTTGTGTCCTGTGTAACTTCAGAAGATATATGTAGTGAACTGATGATTGCCTTTTGATTTGAACCTTCAAAATTTTCTAGTTTATGATGATTGCTGCGCATACCAGCACTCATTTCCAGTATCTTCGATAGCATCGCTTATATCGGCTTGTCCAAATGACATATCAGATATTGAGTTTTTCTTTGCTTCTTGTTCTCTCTTTCAGTTTTCGGATGGCAGGGTAATATTTGTTGAAGTTGCAAAGCCGAGATCAGAACTTCGTCAACCTCCCAAACAAAACCCAAGACGGTATTGAAATGTCAGCCGTAGCCGTGATTGTCGTTGAACAGAGTCCATGGTGCCTTCACTGGTCTGGACTGTCTTGTGTCTACTTTGTTTGGATTCTCATTTTTGTATGCTCTGTTTAACGTATGATTGTATGATTCAATTAATGATGCAAAATTCTCTCTCTCTCCTTTTTGTCAAGGCCACCAAAATTCAAATGACTGCATAAACTGGAAATGCGAAAATCGCTTCCCTGGATTGCATAAACTGTGACCAAGAAACAGTCGAGGAAACGAATATCTATTCAATTGACGCCTAATAATTTCATTTAAAGAATAGGGTTCAAGGAATACACCCAGAAAGGAAGTTACAATTATTGCTTGTTCCAAAACTGCAACCTCATCCGACCGGAAGATATCGAATTGTAAACTTTCAATCACGGGCGTATTGCAATAAACTTGAAAAACAGAACATCTGGAATGCGAAACTATGAGCAGACACGAGCCCTTCGCCGGTCCCTCATGTCTTCATAAACTATGGCAGATGAGTTCTTATTTACATCTGCTAAACATCTTTTGTACGCTGCAAACCCCTTCCGTGAACTGCAGGGCACCGAACAAGTTTCTTCGAGTAATGAATCGACAGCCTCTATGTGCCTCTCACCTAAACTTTCCACTGCACTATGAAAGGATCTTCCCGTAATTTTAGCTGAGTTTTGGTTACACGATCTGACGTGAAGGTCCATAAAACCATGATACATAGACCACCATGGCAGAGGAGCTTCAGGATTAGGGCTATGTTTTTGGTGTTCCCATTCTGTTGTAGCACCACATGCCAATGAAACCACGTTGCCAACAATCCCACCGAGTGTTAAACTCGTATCTAATTGATCTGATCTTGATAATTGAACAAGCTTATCATTCTCCCTCTCACATTTGTCTTCTTCCACCTTTGATGTCAACATCTTAGAATCCTCTGCACCAGGTGGACGTTGTTTCTCCGAGTCTGGTACCAAAACTGTCCTTCCAAAGAGCTTAATGCTCACAGAAGCTCTTATATTGCCGGCATCGTCTTCAGCACTCACAGTGTGCTTGGAACCGGATCTGTAATTCTGGAAATCCAGATCAATACAAGGGCAACCAGAGTCAGAACCCAAAACAGAATAAAGGAATCTAAATTCATAATCAGCATAACAGTTCATCATACCACGGATGGAAATTTTTCCAATTGGACCGATGGCGAGGACCCTTTCACTTCGTCAGCGGATGAGTTGGACACCACGTAATCACTCTCTTTTCCAAAGGGGGATAAGCTCGTAGAGTGCATGTCAGTGGTACCTGAAGTCGGGGGTGGAGATCTGTTATGCTGGTCGAAAGCAGCAGACCCCAGTACATCTGAATCATGTGCAGATAGTACTGAAGTGGGAGATTGTTGGTCTTTCCCTTGAGCCGAAAATTGTGGGGATGGTGACCTTTCTGGTGATCCATTGAGATAATCCACTGATTTACGTGGATAAGGATGCACAGGCCTCCGCTTAGGCCGGGGAGGAGGAATCTCAATCAGTCTGATGGTGCCTTCGCTAGGTCCACATGATTCCTTAGATAGCTGAAAACAAGAAAAACCATATTAATACAGTGAAGGATACATGCTAACTAAAAAATACGGCCGAATGATGATTTAATGGCACAGGGTCTTGAATATCTAACTAAAGAAATTTCAGAATCCTGTATATACTATTAAAGGAAATAGGGACTAAGGTCGAATAGGCATTAAACCTTAGAGAAGAACTTTTGGGCATGACTTCGAATTTGAATTGCAGTTTTGGTGCCTACATATTCTGCATAAAGATGAGTTTAACTTCATCGTCAGATGGTGTGAAAGAAACTTGCTCTAGAATATAGATACAGTTAGGAGGCAATGAGCTTATACCTTCTATTTGACGCCAACCTCGGCCGTACAATTTCAAGGCTTCAAGGAACTTCTGATGCTCCTCCTCTGTCCATTTTTCTCTTTGTTTTGTAATCGTATACGGTTTCCTAACCTGAAGAAACAAGGCAAAAACAAAGAACCGTTCAGCGAAAATTTGAGTAGGTACATAAATTTAGGCAAAAGGGAACCCCTCTGCAACGAAAGCAATGAAAAGAAGGTGACCTTGGGTGCATGGTCACTGCCAAATGAACAAATCTCCGCATTAGATTGCGCATCACCGTTTGAACTGCAATTTCCAACCGCAACAGAGGCGTTTGAACCTGTGGCTTCAATCTGATCCTATGTCCAAACAAAAAGTCGGGTTGATACTTTGGCTTCCAACATAGTAAAGAACAAAAGCGAAAAAGCGTTCATCATTAGTACACAATTCAGTTCGAAAACACGAAACAAAATAATTCTGCACGAGTTTGAAAACATAATAAACGAGCACTAGAGAAATCATGCAAATTGCCTGATCTTGTTACCAGAAACACAATCAATCCAAGCAAACATATTCATTAATCGATCATAAACTTAATAACTGTGAATTAAGTAACAACTGCATCAAAATCTTATCTTGATTTGAGACATCTATCGAATCGACAGCCAAATTCCTCTACTTTTGGAGCAAATTGTACTAAGAAAGTATTCACTCACACACCATGATCAAATTCCGACCAAAACAATTGATTGAAAAGACAGAAAATTGAAACATAGTAACGCAGATTGCTTTTGCATACCTCAACTGCCATTGCTGCTCAAATCAAACAGAACAAGTCCGACACGTTTACTCCGAACCAAACCTGTAATCTGAGAAATTGATTCCCAATAAAGCAAAACAGAATTTCATCAATTGGATATTCCGCCGAATCTAAATTAATAAATAAATAAACAAATAAGGTTAAATAAGAACCAATAATTATACTTTATGAATAATTATTTTTCTGAAAAAAAAAAAGAAAAGAAAAGATATTTATGGGAAAATAAAGCAGATCAATCAGAAGCTTACCTGAAATGGTATTTGAAAGACTGAAAATAAACTTTGTCTCGACAGTTTTCTAAGTGGGAGAGAAAACTGAAAATAAACTTTCCCGAGAAACAAACAAACGGATTCCGCCGTCGGATTGCCGGACAATACAAGAAAACAGAAAATCCAAATCGAGAGGAGGAGGGGAAGGAGGATGTAAAGAGAGGAGAAGAAAGAAATGCGAGAGTAGAGAAGAAGCGCACAAGGAAACCCAGAGTTAAATGGAGGAGGAAGAAAGTAAAAGCAGGGGCTGCCACGTCAGAGTCAGACCGAGAATATTAATTTAAATTTAATTTGTTTGAGAAAATAAAAAAGATGTACAGCAAGTTTGGGAAGGAAAATTCTGGAAGTGGAGTGGCGCAATGAGGAAATCTTGTGGCTGAGAACGCAGGGGACCCACGGACACCCGGCACTTTCTGGTACTTTGCATCCAACCTTTTCGGCTTTTCCGACTTCTTAATAAAACCCCACAAAAATCCGCATTTTATTTTATTTTCTTGATATTCTTGTGGAAGATATTTAATCTCCCCAATACTCAAACACAGATTCGGATAATTACTACAAGATTGAGTCTTTTCACACTAATTAGATTTTTCCATACTATTTTCGAAAATACACTCGCCACAATCTCATGTTTTACTATTATTTTTCGGTGCTGTTATTGATATTTTAAAACAATTCTCACACTTATATAAATAAATAAATATTATATTCATGCTATACAAAATTAAATATACAATGATATATTTACATTTAAATATAACAACGAACGAGTCAAATCAAATATAAATTATCTAACTACAAATAAAAAAGAATACAACCATGATATCTCGAATAATAAAATAAAGAAAATATCTAAGCCACAAGAAACAAAAGGAGAGACGAAGAGTGGAAAGTGCAAGTGGTGTCCATTCAGCCTTCAATCCTGATCATATAATCAAAGATTAGATAGATATATTAAGATATTTATATTATATGAATGTGATTTTTGGTTGTAATTTTATCAAAAAAATTAGAGGAGACGTGGGGAGGTGAGTGCGTGACGAACTGAGTGGTCCCTACTTTACCTTTATCTGCGCTTTTTGACACATCAGCTGCCCTTTATTTCGTGTCTTCCTTATTTAAACTACGACCGCAAACCCCGCTGGCCCACCGCCATTCTCTTTTTATTTGTCCAACCAAATATTCACATTGACCAAAAAAAAAAAACCAATAATTCTATTTTTTTATATGTAAATTCTACGACGAGGACCATTTATCCAATTGTAAATTTGTAACTGGAAAACTAAAGATAATTTATATAGAAAATTGTTATTAGCACTCTAAAATTTTTATTTGATACTCTAAATTTTTTATAATTAGAAAGAAAAATACAATTATGAAAAGTGTAGAATGAGATTTTTAAAGTACTAATAACAATTCCCTTTATATATTAATGTGTTTCCTTTTTTAACTGTTAAAAAGTTGGTTCAGACCAATTGAACACAAAATGCTTGAGTGGATACGAACACCTTATTCACTGTGATTTTTTTTTACTAGTGTTATACAGACAATTTTACTAAGTAAAACAGGGTTCAATAAGCTTCAATTGTACTGAGTAAACCCAACACCCTCTAGAGATTTAACTCTTTTAGTTTTATGCAAACCATTTAAAAAGTTAATTACATGATAAACTCTTAGTAATTTGTTTGAAATATCGCATCATTTTTTTAATACATTCAATCCTATTTACACTAAAGAATATGAGAGTGAGATAAACTTAACAATGAATTAGTCTGTTACTACTATTTTGAATAAAAAACAATGAACTAATCATAATAATTTCGTTCAAATTCTTTTTTTTTTTTTTTTTTGCAAGAATTGAACATAACAACATACAAGTAAAAAGAAATATTACTAAACTATAGTATTAAGTGATAAAATATTTTGCTTTAAAAGTGCATTATTATTTGACTCCAGATGAAGCTGGCCTTAATAATAATCATAAGAATGGAATAGGAAGCCTAATTAGTTGGTGATAGTGGAATCCACCTAATACCATTTAGGCCAAAAACTTTGAAAGATAAAGATAAAAAAGAAAAATTAAATAAAGAAATCATGAAATTTCGCAACCACAAGTTTCTAGCTTTCTAGTATCTGATTATGGTTGGGCAAGATTTCGACTCTTTAATTTCTAATTTCTTTTGGTTAGTTGGGTTCATGTTTGAGCTCCAAACGACAATTGACACGTGCCCTACAAACCCATTCACATTTTCAAAAAGAGAAATAACCATCACCCAATCGAGATGGATCTTTGTTTTTCAAAATGTCCTTTTGCACAAGAAATTTTTTAAGTCTACGAAAACACGGTCTAATATAGTAAGTGTAAAGAAATTTTGTAGTACTTAATGTATTGGACTGTATTTTCAGTACATTGAAAATTTTTTTTTATTTTTTTTATTTTTACACATATTTGCGTTTTAAAAAATACTGCATTTGTGTATATTGAACAATATTATAAGTAGTGTACAAAGTAATTAGCGTAACACGTGCAAATAAAATGTGATGTATATATTTATAATACACACTCTTAATAAATCACATAAAATGAAAAATGCAGTACATGCATATCTAGCGTTATCGTTGTTTTGTGAAATGAATTATTTGGAAACAACATTGTTGTGTTCATATAAAGGAAGAAGAAAAAAAATGAAGAATGTTGCCATTAAAAATTTAAAATATTTGGTTTGTAAAGTCTACTAGCAAGAATCTCATAAATTATAAAATTGTATCAATTAAATGCATTCTTAAGGAAGGAAATGACAAACTCAAGTATGTTATTGAGTTACATGTAGATTTCTTTATAGGAGTTATCACATTTTCGTATCAAAAGGTTCCCGAAGGCACGTGTATGCCAAACACAAACACGTTCGAGAATGAGAATGAAATCTCATGTTCAATCTCGAACCCCATTCTTGTAAAACAAATGCTACCTTTGAGTGTGTTTTTTTGGGTCTGGCTGTGCTGAAGTTGGAGAGGGATCACCAGCTTCTTTCTTAGCGAGCTCAAGTAATAAGTAGTGTGTATATTTTGGATGCTTCATATGCTATCATTATATATACACATATGATCATCTGCATATGTATGATTGGTTGTTTGGTTCCCTGACTTGTAGGCTTGTAGCGCTCGCTGGCACTTGATAATCCTCGCCTAACTCAAAGCCAACCAATCGTCTGTCGGGTTTAGATCGAACAAGATCCATCGGCACTGTCACATGGTTTTGATAATATATGCCAAAGAACTTTCTGAGGCTCCTGTTTCGTGTAGGGATGTGATATCCACACATCTCTTTTTATTTATAGCTCTTATTAATTTATGACTTTTGATCTTTTTCAATTTATCTTATCCAACGGTAGAAAATTAAGATAGTGTATGAGAAGTAAAAAAGGATGTGTAGATAGCACATCCCTTTTGTTATCTAGATAGTATGCCTACCTCATCACAGACTCGAATCCAAAATCTAAAGCGAAGAACTCAAATCGAAAAATCTTGGCAAATTAAACATGACAAAATCGATCCAATTTCACTTTAAGATTTGAGAATATCATTAATAGTCATTTGATTAACAGTTTAGGCTCATCTTCATGCGGATCCCTACTTCATTATAGACCTGATGGTTGAGTTCCACGACAAGATCTTAGTTGATAACAAAGAAATAAAATCTTAGTGGATAACAGAGAAATAAAATCTTAGTTGATAAATTTTGGGGGTGTGATATCCACATATTCCATTTTACTTCTCACACACCTTTTGAATTTTCAACCGTCGGATCGTATAAATTGAAAAAGATCAACGGACATAAATTATCAAAGGGTGTATGAGAAGTAAAATGAGATGTGTGAATAGTACACCCCAAATTCTATTACACGGTAAAATTTCGCATAACCATTGATTGACATAGCACAAAGCAAGAGGGATATGACTGTAAACCCTTGAATAACAATTTTTCTCGAATCCACATGAGTTTGAGAGCAAACCCAAAAGTCCGATTTATTACTGAGCTTAAATTGCATTTTGGAGGCTAAAACAACCTCCTATGGCCAAAACTCATAGTATATCAGGGAAGATCAATGAGTTTGAACCGTGAATTCTTTACTTTTCTGAAAAAGTATCATGGACCAAAATTGAAGCTCGGGCATCAAATATGCAAATTTCTATTGCATCATTTTGCCTTCAACGGTCCATTTTCTCTTCAGTCCATTAACCCATTTGTTCTACATCATCGAATCATGATACTTTGATCTTTCCCACATTGCAGGAGCATTATCAGATACATTAAGGGACCTAGGTGGTCCCAGTACCACCCTGAAGACCATATAAGTAGGGGTGGGTTAGGTATGGTTACCGTATCAAAACCCTCGTATCAATTAACGTACCAAACTTTCAATTTGACAAAATATGTACCGAAGTTTGGTATTGCCAAATAATTCGGTTGGCATGGAATGACAATGGTAATTGCCATTTTGTTTTGGGACAAAATCTATTTTTGTTTTTTTAACCCAGTTCAAGGGCAAAACTTTTTTTTTGGTACCTTTATCTCATACATTGTAGCCTAAATACGTCTATTATTAATCATTCACAATTCACACACACACACAATAATTCAAATGATGCATCAACATTCATGATGAAATTAAGCTTACAATCCAAATAGAAGTTACGAACCAAAACAAATAGAAGTCAAAGTTTCAAACCAAATGAAAATTGGAACTACACTTCAAAAAGTAAAATTCATTGATCAATTCTTCAAACTTGAGATGTCGAAACTTTTGGAGGAGGCATTGAACTTGTAAAAGATAGAACTTGTGTCAAGCCTACATTACAAATAAAGAAAACATATTAGTAGCAAGAAGAATTAAAGTTAAAGACCATTTAATAACAAATTTACTAAAAAAATTAAAGAATTTCTTACTTGTTTTCACTTCTTCCATTTCCTTGTAAAATTGAAGCATATCATCTGTTGGTTCCTTGTAGAAGTTTACTTTATCCGCCCTAAGCCAATCACTAGTACACAATAGTGCCTCTACCATTTTAGGAGTCAATGATGCCCTAAAAGGATTCACAACCCTCCTCCCTAGGCTAAATGCATTTTCAATAGCAATGGTAAAAGTGGGGATTACAAAGATATCTTTGGCTATTTGGGAAAGAATTGGGAACTCTTTTGTGTTTGATTTCCACCACTCAAGAGATCAAAGTCACTAACAACAATGCTAATATAAGTAGGGTTTTATTTTCGAACTATTGGAATATTATACATATATATATAATAAATATGTGTTATATAATTATATATTCTATAATTTATAAATTATATATTATATTATATTATATTTTTGGTACGGTACGGTAATACTGTGGTAATGGTATTCATTACCAATATCGT